TGTGAAAGGGCTAATTAACCACTTTCCTTTTCCTAATTTTCAGAGGCAAACTCGTCCGTTTAAACTTTCTCATCATTACCCACCTAAATCTGATTTAGGTTATGTTAGTAGTCTAATTATCTCCTCCTTACACTAATATTTAGCTAATTCACTCTTAACGAAAAAATTATCTTGGAAATTTTTTGTATACAGCTCTATATGTTTTTTTGTTGGATGGCTATGATTTATTTTTGGTTTTCAAGCCTATTAATTATGAAATTATTTTGTAAAAGAATAAAATAGTTTAACACCACCACCTCTAATTTTATTTGCGTTTAATTCGAGATCTTTAGAAACTATAGGCTTTATAACCGATATGGCCTAATAACAAATATTTAAGGCCTTAATTAAGCCCAAACGTGAGCTTAAGGCTGGTAGGCGATCAGCTCAAATCTCAGTGATGCTGAGATTCAAGACATCCAAAGTTCTCATCAGACTGTGCAAAGTGGACCGTTTTTTGCTCCATCTTCTCTGTCTTTCATCTCTATGCCTGCCGATTGCAGATTCTCTGTGTTCCCAATTCCTGAAATGGGAACAACTTTAGGCTTAGCACAAACATTTCCAATCTAAAAATTTAATATTCTTTCCCAGTTTTTTTTTCTCCTGTTGCAACTTTGGTTTGGTGCTCTTTATTGATGCTTATTTACACACTCAAGAAGTACCCCCTAAAAGAAAAATGCAGGAAGTGGAAGCAAAATGAATGTTCAGAAGATGGGGTTTTGGGGCCATTTTTGCACAAGTTCACAGAGCCCAGTCACTTATCCTGTTATTGATATTGCAACAGTGAAAGTTGGCATATCTCAAAACAAGACATATCACATATCGCTCATGATTCTCATCTGATGTTTACTTAGACAAATTTCACTTCAAGTTCATATTATGGAATAGTTGTCACAATCTCCTCTGTAGAACAAGAATAATACGCAAGTACAACATATGAAACCAACATTACTAAACATACCTCTTTTGGCAGCAATTTCCATCCATACGTACACAAGTCTTAGCAACTTGCCGGCAGTCAAAGTTGTCAATGAATACGGTTATTGGACTACAATCCAGAACAACATGAAAAAGCATCAATTAAAAGGAATAATCTCAGACTCAATAGCCAGAGTTGTCTAACAGAACAGAAAACACATATCTCCGCAGATTCTCGTCAGATTCTGCAAAAGTAACCTGGCGTCGTTTCGAGCTCCTCTTAGTCAAAGCACATATCTCTTCGTCTGAAGATTCATAATCTTGGTCTGAAGATTCAGAATCTTCGTCACCTTGAAGCTCCAAGAGTTTGAGTATCCCACATTCTTTTACCTTCCAGGTGCCAGCGTCATTGTGAGGGTGAGAGTGGTCTTCGAGCTTGAACTTAAAAACAAGCTCGGTGGAAGTCACCTTCTTTGCTTCAACCTCGAATATGTGCAGTTGCTCCGATAAAGCTGGTGTTAGGAAGGCTCCATATGATTTTCGCGAAGTTTGTTTTGACGTGATCCTACAGTCCACACTCAACCATTTCCCCTCATCTTCGCTTTTGCTAACCAACAAAACGCATGCCTTGAATTTTATTGTTGTACGAAGAGGCTTTTCATTCAACTTCACTGTTACAGAACTTCCAGAAGCTCGGTAAGTGAAGCACGCAGGCACTTCCCCACCGGGTAAGACCGAATATTTACTAGTTGATGTATGGATAATGAGATCTCTAGCTTCTTGATTAAGTTTGAAGCAGTTTCGAAAATTTAGAACAATATGTGGATTGCGGAAGGAGCAATCTAGTCTCTCCAGGGAGACACAATTTTCTGCATCTAGGAACATTAGGGAATCCGGAAGTTGTGGGAGTGATACCAGATTCTGCATTTCATTTAGTACAAGTCGATGTAGACGAGAGAATTCCTTGACCCATGGACTAAGCTCTTGAATTCCTGCATCGGTCAAGTGAAGCTCTGTAATTCTGTCAAAAGCATGCGGAAATTCCTTGAGGTTTTCAGAGTATGACATATGCAGTCCCTCAAGACGAGACCACGACCTGATGGATGAAGGAACTTCTACTGCAGTTCCTCTTAGGTTGAGAACTTCAATGTTTGTGGAAATCTCAGGAAAACTTTTTAACGAGGAGCAATTAGTGAGATTGAGCATGTTGAGAGATTTCAAGTTGATGTTCGTCGGGAAAACCTCTAACTTTGAGCATTCTTCTAATGTAAACCACGACAAGCTGTGAAGGTTTCCAACAGAGGAAGGGAGTTTCACCAGACTTGAGCATCCACTAAGATTCAATTTTTGGAGATAAGCTGCATTTCCAATCCAAGAAGGGAGCTCCACCAGACTTGAGCATCCACTAAGATTCAATGTTTGGAGATAAGCTGCATTTCCAAAAGAGGAAGGGAGCTCCACCAGACTTGAACATCCACTAATATCTAGTTCTTCGAGATAAATGCTATTTCCAAAAGAGGAAGGGAGCTTCACCAGTCTTGAGCATCCATTGAAATTTAAGTATTTCAGATTAGTTGCATTCTCAATCCACGAAGGGAGTTCCACCAGACTTGAACATCTACTGAGATCTAGTTTTTGGAGATTAGTTCCAATAGAAGAAGGGAGTTCCATCAAACTTGAGCATTCCTTGAGACTTAATGTTCGAAGATTAGTTGTATTCCCGATCGAGGAAGG